ATGGATGACAGAACAGGGCCCGGAAGAAATAATAAAGAGACAAACATTAGTTAGAGATACAAAAGATAGGAAGTTGTGGAGTGCCATGATCAACCATGTCTTGAAGGAAGACGATGCATAAAAGAAGAAAAATACTAAAAATACAGGTGTAAATCTGTGCAGTCATCATCATCGAATATAAATCATATTATAAAGCATTTCATTTTTTGTCCTTATATTACAAGACCCAAGGGTCACTCAAGGTAGAGGTTTACTGAGTGAGATTATTGTAAAGAAAGGAGGAATCAAGAAATTATTATGAGTAGGATATGTAACGGTTGACCCTGGATTTTAGTCGTCAGGAAGCATTCTCTCAGGAGTTTGTTCCACAAAGTAATAGTTCTGGGGAAGAAGCTGTCTGAATGGAACACGAAGGAAATGGGGAGTGTTTGCCACCGTGAACACTTCATAGGGGGGGGAGTCCAAGCGGTGAAGGTCTGTGTTAGTGGAACTAAGGAATGTAACTCGCCTGTTCATCTGCCCTAGTAAGAGCAATATAATAGCGAGAGGCTGTCAACGTTACGTCTGTGGGATAAAGGTTGCAGGGTGGAAAATAATTCATCACCCATAAGGCCGCGTAAGAGCTTTTGAACGGGACAAATGTTATCTTGATTTTTTTTAGGATCAGCGTTCTTTGAGGATTACATGTCTTTCAATATTTCATTTCTTTTTCCGTAATCTTGGTAAATTTTTTCTTTCTTTATCCTAGTATTTATTCGAAGTAAGTAAATTATTGTTCAGAAATAAAACCTGATATGATTCTGAAAATAAGTTTTTGAGATTGCGAATTGTTACAGTTTAATCCTAAAATGAAACTCGTTGAGTCGACCTTAATCAATGAACTATATTCATATTTTACTATTTATTGCACATTCTCTATATATTGTACTATATGTGGTAAGATACAACTCATCCACCCGGTTCGAACCGCCCTCAACTACTTTATAGCCGAGTTCCCACGTATACTTTTATCAACTTGTCACACAGTGACTTTCGCTCGTCACAGTAGGCGCTGACAAATACTTCAATATAAATAAAGACGAAGAAGAATCAATTCCGATACATACATACATAATGGCTGACACACCGGTCTGTCAGGGCGGCTATCAAATCCCTATTACAGACAACCATTCAAACTACAGAGTCCACCCGTGGTTTATACTGTAACTATGCGGAGCGGACCTTAGTTACGACATACATAAACACATACATATACATTATTTAAAATGTGCTGTGTTTATAGGGGAAAGCGATCGATATTGGTGATAGATACTTTGTAGATATAAACAGTGTTGTACATAGATATAAACATTCCATGATGCTTGACTCTTTCGTGCCTTAAACTAATTAATTAAATAAAAATGAAAGTAAACAAAGAATACTTAAAAAATAAATGTTTATAATATTTAAAAAAAGTACTATAATTAAAAAAAACGAAACATTGGCTCGAATGAAAAACTGGTAAAACCGGTTTTCCCCTTTCACCCCAGCCATAGGTGGCACACACACGCACGCATACACACACACACACACGCACACATACACACACACACACGCACACACACACACACATATATATATATATATAGATCGATAGATAGATAGATAGATAGATAGATAGATAGATAGATAGAACTAATAAAAAGCGGAGTAACAAGGTTTGATGCTCACTTAAGGCGTGAATCTGCCAGTCACCATATATTCGGTTGTTAGATATTATTTTAAATGTCATCATTGTCCGATGTTTCTAATCGTTAATGTATGCATTTATTTATTAACACGTATGTGACTGTAAGGAACTCGATTGGAATTCGAACTCAGATCTCCGATTCCTCAATCCTAACCGCAATCCAATGTGCCTCCTAGGGAAAGGTATGAATCCATCTCACCCACCAGCTATGGGTAAATAGCAGGGCAGATTGGGTTCTATAGGCTTGGATGGCAACCAGTCCAGAATAAGACAAAACTTCCATCTATGGGTAAATAGTAGAGTAGTCTGAGCTCTGTAGCCATGGTTGGCAACCAGACTAAGAGAAGATCAACTCTGACATCAAATCCGGTGCTGGAGTCCCTAAAAAAGTTCGATGTCATGTTTCGTTCTGGCAACTTTTGCGATGACGCTAGTGCCAAGCCGTATTGGACTCTACCTTGCGCTTGAACGACATCGATGACATAGATAGGGGAGAGAATAATAAAAAAAAAAAAAAAACCTGCCCAGGCCTGCGCTCTTCGGGTGCAGATACACATGGTCTCTTAAGACCGACGGATGCCAATAATTAATTTATTTACACATTTCCTTATTTGGACTTGACCTGGATTATTTTCGCCAGGTCTTGATCGTCTAATTTTATCTCTCATTCAACCTTTAGTTCCTATCAAGACTAGATTCATTCATTTTAATTTGGCTTTATTTTCGATATACCTCTTTTTAAAATGACGATCCGGTAAATCTTAATTGCTTATCTTTACACATTTTTCTTTATCAGTATTTTGCATTTCTTTAGGAGAGGGATCGAGTTAAATATACAACTGCTCCTTCCCTTCCTCTTTAATGCCATTATATTCCACGTAGAGTATAGGATCATAGCCTCACCCCGCTAGGTGTTGGTATGGTGGTTTCTGAAGCAAATAGATTTTACGGAGAGGAGTTGGTAACCCCGCACCAAACCGTTTTGAGTTCAAAGTTGTCTTTCTGCTAGACTGGTTGCCAAACAAAGATAGAGAGTCCAGTCTACTCTACAATTTAACCTATAGCTTCGGGGTCTGGAGAAGAGAGGGTGCCATACCTTTCTCAATGGTATTTGAGCAAAAGTCCACGTAACGAATTCAACTAGAATTTGAATTCAACACACCGATTTCACTTTCCGCGCCGATAACCCTTGCGCTATGAGCCCATACAAGTTATTATGGAAATCCCATAAACGTTGAATTTGTTTTGAACAAATATTGTCAAATTTTAAATGATTAACTTAAACAAATCTTGAGTTAAATTTTAGGCCGTTTCAACAAGTTTTATCAAAATTATACGATTTATTATGAAAACTACAATCTGACGTTATTATGCAAAACCAAAAAAAAACGATATCAACAATTGATCAACACCTATAATGTAACACACACAGATACAAGTATATATATATATATATATATATATATATATATATATATATATATATATATATATATATATATATATATATATATATATATATATATATATATGCCTGATGCCATAGAACCTATAGATAGTTTTAAACAGACAAAACCACATATTTTTCCCTTAAAAAGGTAACCTTTTTTCGTCCAATACCTAATCAAAAGAATTGTTGGCGACTAGTAGTATAATGTAATGAGAATCGCGGGATAATAGGCATACTGGGAGGAGACGAGGAACTACGATTAAAATAAAATTTAATGTTAAAAAGGAGAAAAAGGGTGGGGGCTATGATCCATCTCCACTATTAATGGATCTGTCCTGAACACATATTCAGGAGAACTCTGTGTCGCATGTTATCTCAGTGGTGGGGATGAGCGGGAGACTGGATAAATACTGAATTCACCAAACCACATCGGAGTCAGGCAGTTTGTTGTCTAGCATCTCTGTTTCGCGACAGAGACACGATTGAGAAAAACAGACAAGAATTGTACCCGGCCTCGTGAATGCAGGACTATGTAAATTTTGACGATTGACCCTGCTAGAAACCCTCGGTTTCCCCACAGAAATCTCGACCTTGTGTCGCATCTCATCTCAGTTCACCAAACCACGTCGGAGTCCGCTGTCTAGCTCTGTCAGTGTTTTGTCAAGACCACTATCTTCGGGCATAGGGAGACTCAGTCGGGGATCCGCCTAGCAACAGACAGAAAATAGACAAAAATCACGTGAAGGCGGGACCTGAGAAAATGTTTACCATTGGCTCGGGTGGAAACACTCGGGTTCCACACAGAAATCAGGACTTTGTGTCGAGTCTCATCTCACTGTGTGTGTGTGGGGGGGGATGAGTAAATACAGAGTTATCAAACCTCATTCGGTGGCAGGCAGTTCGCTGTCTAGCTCTGTCAGTGGCCTTGGCTTGTTATTGTCAAGACCTCTGTCTTCGGGCCGTGGAAGACTTCGTCTAGCGACAGAGACGCGACTAAGAAAAACAAAAAGAATTGTATTCTGGGTAAATACCGAGTTTATCAAAGCTCGTCGGAGTCAGGCGGTCTGGTTGTTTGGCTCTGATTGTCAAGCTCTCTGTCTTTGGACAGAGGGAGACTCAGTCAGGGCTTTGTTTAGCGTCAGAGACTCTTAATCATTCGCTCAATCGTACGTTTAATAACATTTTCCGGGTAAACATAGTCTGTGAAATTACCATGAGTTTTCCATTTCACAATCAAACCTACGAGTCGAATATAACATCAACGCAGGATGGGCCAAAATAGAAATTAAATTTAGCTTCCGTAATTTGGGAAGAGCAGAATTCCATTTGGTGTATAGTCCAGTAAAGTATGTTTACGATAAACACTAGTGATGAAAGAACCATCCTTCCACTAAACAAGTACATCAAAGAAGGGGAAAGTCGAATCACATTCCTCCTCCATAGTAAAGCGAAGAGACGCGTGGAGAGAATTGTTGAACGTTGAAAGTCTTAGTCTCTTCAATGGAATTGAAAACGGAAAAAGTATCATCAATATAGCGATAATAAACGTAGGGCTTGTGGCATTTTTCAAAGACCCCACAATAACCCCACAAAAATATTAGCTGAAACGGACCCAAGGGACTGCCCTTCGAAACCCCGCCAATCTGGGTATACATAATTTATATATGCCTGTGTCTGTGCATGTAAAAATTCAGGTATGAATAAAATATATGTGTAAAAAGACAATATGAAAACTTCTTTACTAATGTGTTTCGTACCCTGAGGGATTTCATCAAGGGGTTTTATTATTTACTGTGGTAAATTTCCTCAACAGTTGAAAAGCATTAGAGAAGAAAAGTTCTCCTTTTTTGTTTGTTTGTCTGTCTGTCTGTCTGTCTGTCTGTCTCTCTCTCTCTCTCTCTCTCTCTCTCTCTCTCTCTATCTATCTATCTATCTATACTAGCCGAATTACCCACGCCTTGCTGCGTGTCACATATTTTTTTCAAGAAAATGATGATTAATTTTAAATCATTGCTATAATTTGTGGAGAAAAACGATGCCTTTCAATATTATTCAATGATCTTGCCGATGTGACCTCCATCTTCTGGTTTTTTCCTTTTATATTTTGGATAGGAGTCATTCCCTTTTTTAAATTTAATCTAAATAAAAGGGAAAAATCAGTGGGGGTTTGTGCAGAAACAGCTTGGTTTTTGATATGTATTTGATGCAATACTTGATTGAATGAATTGATTAGCAGATGTCAACATTGATATGACCGTTGAATATATGTATTGTAAGGCACTACTCACTGATTGGTAATTTCTTACTCAACTTGACATTCATATTGTCTCATTTTGATCTTGCCGATGTGATCTTCTGGCTTTCTCCTTTTATCTTTTGGATAGGAGTCATTCCCTTATTCAAATTTAAATTTAATTGAAATGAAAAGGGAAAACAATCAGTGAGGCGTTTGTGTCCGCCTCCACCGAATATCCTTTTGATCAAAATGAAATATACTTATCCAAGTATCCTAATAGTTATTCCATTGTTCAGATTTAAATTTAATTTATATCTGTTGAAACTTGACTAATGCATGGAATAATAATGCAACACAATATGTACTTAGAACAAAATGTATTGAAACAAGAAAGTGTACACAATATTTACATATAGTCTTTTGTATATTCCTAGTAAGACCATTCCTGGAGAATGTGTTGACTGAGTCGCAGTCGGACAGAGTCTCTGGTTGAATCTCTTGATTCCTCCCTCTCTTCCCGGTACCAACCATATTTATATGGTCGGCACTCCACTATGCAAATTAGGTGGATCCTACCACAACAATATCAAAGGGTAAAAATTCAGTGGGGGTTTGTGACCCCCCCCCCCGGAGCCCTCTTTGATCAAAATAGAATATACGTATCCAAGTACCCTGGGTAATGTAGTGTTAGATTATATATAGTTAAAACCCGAGTAGGAGTTCGATGAACTGATGAGCAGATTTCAACATAAATTGTCGCAACAAATATGTATTGTAAGGCGATACCTACTGATTGGTGATTTCTAGCGCAACTTGACGTCCATATTGTCTAATTTTGATCTTGCCAATGTGACCTCCATCTTCTGGCTTTCTACTTTTATAGGTTGGATAGGAGTCATTCCCTTGTTCAAATTTAAATTTAATTTAAATCAAAGTGAAAAAATATTCACTGGAGGGCTTGTACCCCCCAGGTAACCGCCTTTGATCGAAATGAAGAAATATAGTTATTCAAGTACCCTGGGTAATGTAGTTTCAGAATATATATGGTTATGGTAATCTATCTCCAAAAGCCTAGGAGGAGTTCGATAACAAACGAACACACAGACAGAGGTTACAATATATATATATATTGAAATATCAATGATATTAAACAAATAATGAAATTCATCCTCTTTGTTTAAACCAAATTTTAGTATCCCACATACTTCTGCTGGCAGTCTGTTTCTGGGTGCTGACCTCAGTGTCCATATATATATATATATATATATATATATATATATATATATATATATATATAGTCGCAGAAGTATGAGGGATGATAAAATATGGTTTAAAGAAACAGGATGGATTTCATTATTTGTTTAATATCATAGATATTTTAATTACAAACCAGACCCCGCTGTGAAAAAGAAACAAACGAACAAATTACTTTAGAAGAATTAAATGTAATGAATATTTTCTTAATCGGCTAAATATATTTCTTTCACGTCACTTTGTTAATGGAGGTTTGGTTATTTATCAAAATTCATCTTTATTTACGTTTAAATTTAGTTAAAAATATATGTTAACGAGTCTTGTCAAACCGGCAGCTGGTTTAAAATATCATACTATCTTGTCAGTGTGTTCTTTATTTTTAATATTAATACAGGAACCTGCCGAGAATTTTTTTTCTTTAGAGAATGTTCACAGATAGTTAAGAAGCAAGTTTCTACAGTATCAGAGATCGATGTTCCAATTCATTTGAGGTTTCGATTTCCAAATCCAGTTTCCATTGCCCGAGAGAAGAAAAGTTTCAGCAATTTGTTGAAATAAATCCCAAGCCATACGAATAACATTCGTTTTCTATATTCGTTCATTCATTTTCAGTTGATTCAAACCGAATCTAACCAGTTGATCTTGGTTGTTAATGGACACAACAAAGAAAATGGATCTCCAACTGTAAATATTTTTATGCTGGTTGCATGAATAAAATTCGCGTTTAAATGATCTGCTTGGAGATTTATGAATCATTTATTGAATTAACGATGAGTTTATTTTTGTATTACATCCATTAAGAAGTAAAAATATACTTTGCAAGGTCTTTCCCGGAAGGTTGTGACCACTGTTGACAAGCCAAATTCAAAAGTAATATTTGCTTTTATGTTAAAGCGATCAATACAGAAACTATCTACAATGCGTTGGCTGCATATTTTATGACATTTATACAAGATAAATTTGATGCATCAGCAAGTACACTGAAATAATTGATGGATACTACAAGTCCATCTGATAAAAAAATACTAAATCAATATTGTCTGGTTATACAAAGTAAATGTTTATTAATCATTTTCTTATTAAAATGTTATGACAAGAAATTTTCGATTATGACTCTCCACAGATCCCATTCCTTTACTATCTATCAATTGCCATCATTTCTTAGAAAAGATAATGGTGTGGTTTCTCGCTGTTTTCTCTACGGTTTTGAATTCAATGCAATCCTTCTGGAATGACTGCAACACGAGGTTCGGGAGCTATATGATGAAGAGAGAAGAGATGGATATACCTATGTGGAAAGAATAAGTGTACAGTGCAGGTAAATAGGCTAGACATCGGATCCGATAAGCTTTACATTACTGGCACATAATTCTTAATTAATATCTATTTGGCAAACATTGGCATTCCGATCCGGGTAACCTACAGGGAATTTCAAACTGAACTCTTTATTTAATCTACGAGAGTAATGTGCTCAGTTATCACTTAGTATATACTGCCGGCCCCAGGGATTGAACTCACAATCTCATCAAATTCGGAACCAACGTTTTAATCCACTAGGCTGTGAAGAACTTGGAGCCATAAACCTAACTCGCCTGCTGATGAGTGTTGCTGCTGCTCGCCATGATTGACTGCAATCACTGAAGATTTTCTCTTATGTTATTGTTGCTGCTGTTAAAGATTTGTTGTCCTTCATATTTTTTCTTTATTAGCGGCTCCCATATTGTATTTATTTATATTCTATTATAGCATTATTTCAGACGTCTAACTATCCAGTGTTCTTCCTTGTTCAGTATTAGTAGTGCTAAGAATAGGAGGGATATCCCTAGACATGGGCAGTGGAACGATAACAATCTAACCTGGTAGATTAAATATAGGGTCCAGTTCGGAATTTCCTGTAGGTTAACCAGATCATCATACACCTTATAAAGGCTGGAGGGAGAGACGAGCGAAGCGTTGTAATAACAACAAAGACTACGACGACAATAGTAAATAGTGTAAATAGTAGGTAAAGCTGATAACTCTTCATTGCAAAAGTTCAAACAGATATTTTATTCAATACGTATAAGTATTTTATACACTTACTAAATGCACTCATTCTAATACTCCAAAATAATCTTTTTCTAACGGTATATCTATTTCAATTCATATTTATATACAATGTGATTAACCTTTACCGTGTTCCTACATAAAATATGAAACTGGTGTTGCTATGACAGCCAGTATTAACTTTTAAATGATGGTCGTTGAGTAGGTGCGATGGAAAGCGACTAAAATTAAAATGGAAGAAAAGAAATAGTATGAGAAAATTAATAATGGCTGACCATATTTCAGGTAATAATAAAAGATTTTCTTGATATGTTTCTTCATGACATTCTATACTGATATTGATTCATTTGTTATTAAATACTTTAATTGATATCAAATGACAATAAACATGGCTGAACTCAAGATAATATCCGAAATTTTTGGAATATAGTAATATTCTGCGACAGACAATTTCAGACATCTTTCTCTACCAGAACCGGGATATTGTAAAATATAAGAGAAACAGAAAGAAACAGAAAGTTAGACAAAATAAGTGGAATAATTTTCACAAGAAATTATGGTTTTAATAAACTTTTTAAAAATTAAGAGCAGTCTTCTTCTTCTTCTATGTGCCGCATCCCTTCAGGACGTTGACGATCATGGCTCTCCACAATTTCCTTTCCTTTGTAGCTCTTAATAACTTTTATCTTTTTGCCATTTCTCCCAAACCCTGTTCCGACATCCATTCACTTAAGCTAGCCAAGCAGGCTTTGCGTTGATTTACTCTATCCCTCTTACCTTCAATCTGTCCTGTGAGTATCAAATTTTCTAAACCTTCTTTCCTTATTAAGGGCAGTGGTGATTTAAAAAATATTATTTACGTTGATAAACTACTATTTTAAAGTTAAATATATACATTATATTATTAAAATATATGGTTAACATTTTTCCTGTTTCCGAAGGGAAATAATATACTGCGGAAATATCAAACGTATTTGTTTGATACAACATGAAAAGACAGGAAAATGATTATGTTTTTTTTTTTTTTTTGTTTTCGTTTGAGAATAGATAATGCTAAAGAACTTTTGTTTTAAAGTTAATTTTATTATTATTTATTTTTTATTATTTTTGTTTTTATCCCACCATGTTCGGTCGAACGCTTTTTCGATCGCCAGGTAATTCTGCTAGGGTAGAAATTAAAAAAAAAAAAAGCTTCCAAAGAGACTTGAACTCGTATCTTCTACATGAATAGAAAGTTTTACATGTAAAAAAAGTAAAATGAATACTTTTACTATTACCAAATATAAAAATAAAAGTTTGAGAATAGGAAAGAAAGCCATGATTAAGTAACTATGAATCTGCTTAATCCTTCATGCTTTTGTGTCTAATGAGGTTAAAGCAACAGCCATGAAAAATAAGTGTAGATA